ACTGCAAATGTGTGTCGATAGCTTTTGGGGACGAGAACTTCTTTGTAGTAAGGAGGTGTTGTTTTTTTTTTGTTTTGTTTAACACAACGCAAATTCTCCCACAGAGTCTAAAGGGGGTTTCATGTGTAAATGCTGCATCAGCTAAGTTTCATATCATTTATCAGTCATTTTGCATTTGATTTTACAAACTACATTATCATCATACAAACATTATTCATACAAATATGCACAAATGTAACCAGAAGAATGTAACAATGTACAATGCCATTGTAACATTGTGACTTATACAAACCCAGGAAAAGTTAAATTACATTTAAGAGCTGTTCGAAATGTTTGGTCGAATTATTGAGGAACGTTCGACTTTGGGGTGTGATCTTAAAGTATATTCTGTTAATGTGCTATAAAATTGTGTTGTTTAATGATTCTGAAAAATCTGAATCTGTGAATAGTATGTAAAAACAGAATTAGTGTGAAATCTACATATGTGAAAATCTTCTATCTAAGATAGTAATACATAATAATATGTATACTAATACATTTAATTGCCTTAAACATCACTCTGTTGATATATGCAATATATTATGAGTATTGTGGTATTTATTTTAATCATATCGACATTAACATTTTCACTGAATTGGAACAGTCAGATAATAAAATATATATTTCAGTTAGTTTTATATATCATATACAGGTCCTCTATAAAGCAATTAGCTGGACTCAGTAGTCAAACTGTGTCACTGTCTACAAGTTTGTCCTTACAAGTCATTTTAAGTGTACAGTTCAAAGTTTGAATACATTTGATATTGTGACATTAATCACTTTTTCCATAAAGAGTCAGATATCATCCTAAACACTGAACACAGATATAAAGGAGCTGCAGGAACTTGAATACACCTCAACAAGGCTTTATTTTCTTATTTAGATCATTTTCTATAATTTTCTATTTTCTTTGCTGTATCTTTGTAAAAGTAAAGCACCTCATAGATCCAGAATTCAACTCATCCCCAAAGAGACCGTTAGGTGGGTCAGTAATATCAGCTGTTTGACAGACTGTTATAGAGCTGGGTGATACGACCTAACTGTTAAATCTTGTTTAATTTATTCTCTTCTCCACCTAAACTTAAAGTAAAGAGCAAACCATTCACACATGTTGGTGTTTATAGATTCAAGGGTCTTGGTGCAGCCACTTTATTGCAGAAATTGCACAATAATTTGAAACTGGGATACTTATTTTTTGAAAACCCAACTACTGTTTAAACTACATCACAAAGACAAAGCAACATTGAAAACTATTTTATGATGATGTTAAGATGAAGGATGAAGAATATAAATATCTGAAGGCATTGAACATCTACAACATGTGTAAAGAGTATTCAGCCAAGACAGTAAAGTAGATGGACTTGTTTTTATTTGTACTTATTTGACATTTATCTCATTAATGACGTAATCATGAATTTAACTTTTTTTTTTAATACTTACTACTACTACTTCTAAGACATTTCAGTTACATCACAAATTGTACATCATTTTTAGAAGAGTTGTCCATCTGTTGGGAGGGCCATTTGCTAAAAGGAAGAAAGACAAAGAGTGTGGTTAAAGTACAAAGATTGGTGAGTAAATTGTGAAATAGTTTTACAATGGTGCATTTACAGGAATAATTAACACATAAGGATGTCATATGCACACGTCTGATCAGGGCACACTGCCAGATGCTGGCTAAATATGGAATTGGGTGGTATGTTTGCTTCACTCACCAACAAACAATAGTAATCTGTTCAGTGGCTGATAAAATTTAAACCTTCACATTTGGCTGGTGGACAAAAAAACGTACATTTTGCACCTGATACTGTGTTTGATGTGGCAAATATATCTCTGATCATTCTTCTTACCTCAGCTGATGTTAATGCGATTTCCTGCACCAATGGCTCCTGAGTTATTACCAACTGTAACATCAGCAGTGTTGCCAATTTTGGAACCATCTCCCATTCCTCCTGAGGGTTGAGAGAAGGATCAAAAGTTAACAACAGAAACTCACATTTTTGCTGTAAAGATGCTAATATCTGAACATTTATGAATTAGAGATAAACTGTTAATACTGTAGCAATATCAGGAATAACTCACCTTTTATATCATAGCTGTTGTCTGCTCCAATACGTCCTGAGTCTGTATTCTTTCCTATAACGGTGATGCCGGTGGTGTTGCTCAATTCAGTATTTTTTCCAAGACCTCCTGTGAGAGTTGTCATTAGAGAAAGAGATTGTATGAAACTGTCAAGGCAACCTGACAGAAAAGTATATTCACACTCATACTTACCTTTAACATCAATTTCATTGTTAGCGCCAACCTTCCCTTGGTTGCTGCCAATCTGAACGTTCTCGGTGTTTGCAACTTTCGACATTGTTCCTGCTGAAATCTAGACAGAGATTCACTAAAAGGAAAGTAAATTTAGTGATTGTCATAAAAATGGGTCTGTCATAGCAGCATTATAAAATGCTGAATAAAATACAAGATAGTGAATTTGTTGTATTTAAAAGACAGCAGTTGACTCAAACATACAGCAGAGAAATTATCTTGGTCTTACCACTGGTTTCAGTTGTTTGTCCTGTGTTATGAGGTGAGCTTCTTGAAATGCTTTTATAAGGGTCCTGAACATGCGTGCTCATGTCTTTGGGGGTTTAGGAGGAGGAACTTTCTAAATATGGTAAACAGTTGTTTTGTTTCTTCAGCAAAACTCTTTTGTTCCCCACAAAGTCTGAAGACCTTTTTGTTGTAATTATCACATGTCTATGTTACAGTACTGGTGAGCCCTCTGCCTCCTGAAACATCTACTACTAAACAAGTGTATTTTACATTTCCTCCCCTCTTCTCTGTTGAATGAGTAAAGTGTCCTTACAGTGTGGGTTATTTGAAACATTAAGCAGGTTATATAGCATTTACAGATAGCTTCATCAATCACAACTTCTGATTGTGTTAAGGTCTACTTAACGTTTGTGTGATGTGCGTTTTGGTATTTTCCTTCTACTTGATCACAGATTCAAACACAAATAGTAACATCTCTTTACACCTACAATACTTGCTGTGTCGTGTTATTTGTTGGACTACAGCTCTCTCTGTATCTTTTATCTTTTTTTAATAAATTGGCTGGTTTAAGTGATATTGTATAGCCAACTCTGGTATTCATTGAGCGTGTAACATTTGAAATGCAGTAGGATTCTAACAGTCAAGTTCAATATGAATTACTTTCAATGTCATCATACTGAAACCACTAAACCACCACAAGTCACGATGTTGAGTTTTGACATTAACCTGAACCTGTTTTAGCGACTGTCTGACCTGAAGCTTCCCTTTCAGTTTGACTTTGTTGCAGTCATGATCTAAAACGTGTGACTCAGCAATGTGGTGACTGGGAACTGACTCTGACTCATAAATCAGAAGGATGAGGATTTAGAGGGACTTTACATAAACAGACCAAACCAACCATGTACAGCTTTATGATTTAGCATTCAGGCGACATATTAAGGTCACATTTGTTGAGGTCACTATTAGCGCAAGTTTTTTTACTGTGGTTCTTTGCCCTTGTCTGCTGTTTCTTGTTCCTTTTGTTTCGCTATTGTCCAAACTTCTCTGAGAGAAAATTATGTTATTAGTGTGTGTTTTTGTGAAGGTAACATTATGTAACAGAGCAAGACAACACCAAGTTCTTTAAGTTGGTTATCTTAAACTTTAACTTCCTTTAATTTAAAATGTTTCTTTCCATATTTTAGTGGAAGGGTCTAACTTTGCATGAGCAGCTTATTTAAATGATCTTATTAAAGCCACGAATGTTATTTTTTTATTTATTTTTCTTTTGTATGATTCACCTGTCAAGCTTCTTTTTGAAATGTTGAACTTAATAACATCAGAGCATCAATCACAGCTCTGTCCATACAGTATATGTTTGGATATAGCCCCACCTTGCTGCTGCTGTGTCGTAATACACCAGTTCACTAGCCTAATAACTCTCTTCTTTCTCTTTATTCTTAATTTCATTCTGTTTAAATCGCTGTAACACACAAAGATACAGGCACTAATTCAGAGGTTGCAAATTTGCCAAATTTCTTAATGGAGACACTGTCACAATTTGCGATCTTCCAAATGATTATAGTCCCGTGTGGTGTTCAGCTACTGCTTAAAGGTCTAGTGTGTAACATTTAGGAGGCTCTGTTGGCAGAAATATAATATAATATTCATAGATATGTTGTTATTAGTGTAGAATCACCCAAATAAAGGAATTGTTGTGAGCCGTTTTTATCTACAGACGCTGCAGGTTGCCAAGTTGCTAGCACCTCTGTGTGGCTGTTTTTTGTCACAACAATGCTTTGAGCTAAATACTAAAGTCAGCATGTTAACTTGTTCACAATGACAATTCTGATGTTTAGTAGGTAAAATGTTTACAATGTTTACACGTTAACATTTGCTAATTATCACTAACACACAAAGTCAAGTAACACGGTTGTAGTTAAATTATTTGCTCAATTCAGGTTGACCTAAATTTAATTTTTAATCAATGAAAGTGGCGTTTTGTGACTCCTGTCAGTGGTTCAGACCCATGTGAGAACTCACGAAACAGACGGCTGTGGTAGTGCTGGCATTTTTTCCCACAACTGTATATTAATTTTTCTCAACCGAATGTCCGTTATTCCTGTAATTCGATTATAGACCGGATTTATAATATTTGTTGAAAGCATTAATCTCAGTCTTTTATGCAGTTGATCACAGGATTGATACACTGAGATGGTGGGCTGGTTTATCTGGGGCCGGTCAGACTGTAGTTTCACAGCAATGTTTTGATTGATGTCAAACTTATGATATTACTTAAGATTACTGATGTGTCTTTCACACGTTCCCAATTCTCAGCTTGAAATGAAGAGAAAACGTGATGTGTTTAAACAGTGAAATGAAACAATACAAAGACATGCTGCATGTTGACTTTATTTTCATTTGTATTTAATAATAAAGCTGAAGAATCTCAATGATCTTTGCTGCTGTCAAAGTATGAATTTAACACAAATATTTTCTTTATAAGTCATCATTTTTAGCCAATTGAGTTCCTAAAAGAGAAAAAGAGGTGGAGAAAGAAGGCAGAGCAAGATAGAATAAAAGTCACAAACACTATGAGGGATTGTTGATTATAAACAATCAATGGATTAAAAGACACAAACATGTTATATGTACGTTCACACATTCAATATTGTGTCCTATGTGACCAGTAAATCCTTCTTACCTCAGCTGATGTTAATGCGGTTCCCGGAACCAATTGATCCCGAGTTGTTACCAACGGTCACATTTCTGACGTTGCCAATGTTTGACTTGGCTGGGATTTTTCCTGTTGGAATACCAAGAATAGAAGAGATTGAAAGCAGTTAATCGTGCTCAGATATGTGCTGTGATGACCTCCAAACATGAGTAATGAATCAAAAATAAACCACAGCCGTATGAGAAATATAACCCACCTTTCACAGTGTACTCGTTCCTTCCTCCAATGCATCCTCGGTTTGCTCCAGAAACATGAATGTTACTGATGTCTCCCAGGGAGACATTTTCTCCAATATCATCTGTACATCAGAGAGGACAGTGTGACCCCACACAAAGACACTCAGAGCCATTATCAGTGTGCAGAAGTTAAACTTACCTTTAACATTGTACTCATTCTCAGCGCCTACCTTCCCCTCATCGCAGCTGAGGGAAATGTTCTCGTGGTTGCCAGTGTTGTTAGACGCCGGTCGTGCTGATATGTAGACGGATGAGCCTAAAAAGATGACGAAAAATGACGAAAGAAAGAATGTGCTGTTGAATCCCATGTTCACACTCTGCAGCTGTGACGCACAGACTGTCTTATCACATCTGGGACAGCGTCAGCTTAATGTGTAACATATTAATGTAAACAAAACAAAAACATGAAGAGTTAGAACCTGACACAGGTAGTGTCTGAGATGGTTGATCTGTTTAAGCCTTTCATTAGGAATGGTCATATTTCCAGAAGTAGGCAGTAGACTATCAGTAAATTGTTGCAGTCTCATGTTCCACAGGGAACGATGAAGTTTAAGTAAGTGAGGTTGATCTGAAGAAACAGCACTGTGCTTTGTCAGGTATCCTATAATGGTGTGATCATGTCTGTAATGGACGAGGAGGACATTCTGATCGGTATTTCAAAGAGGTTTTATCGATTCAGCTTATGCCCTCATTTCCACAGAATCTAACAGTGTTTGTTACATCAGAAACTTTTCAATACCAAAACTGGTCGCAAATAAATGTTCACAGGCTTAAAGAGATCATTTTCAAAAAATCAATGTAGCAGCTGTGACAGCGTTACCCTGATATTGACATGTGTAGAGCTGCAAACGATTACTTAAATTAGCCATTAGTTAATCAGGTCTTAAAGTAAAAACAAAGCCATTCAAACACGTGTTGGTGTTTATTGATTCAAAATATTAATTTTGTGTTCTTCCTTTGCTTTATTATGACACACCTAAATAATACCTGGTGCAGACACTTTTGTTGCAGAGGTTGATAATAACTTGAAGAGAGATTATAAATTATATTAAAACCAAACTGCTGGTTAGTCGGTTTCCTGATAAAACCAACATCACAACAGACAACAGACTTCCTTTCCATAAATTAATATAAAATAAATAAACAATGTTTGGGTAAAGGATAAAGAATATAAGAACATTTTCAAGGCACAGCACAGAAGTACAGAAAAAGTGGAAAGAAATTGTAAATAGTCAGCCAGAGACAGTATCATACAACATTTAGACAATATTTTCACTCGTACATTCATCTTTGCTGATTTAAAATCATGAATTTTTCCTTTGTGAATACTTTGGTGCATCATTTCTAAAAGACTTGTCCGTTGGAGGGCTATTTCTTAAAAGGGAGAAAGACAAAGAAACTGAGAAAGAATAAAATACACCACACAAGATTGATGAGAAAATTCAGATTATATTGTTTGACAATGATCCATTAACAGGAAAAAATAACACTCACGGATGTCATTTATTTATATATATGATGTGTTTAAGTGTAGGTTAAAGCCTTTTTACAGTATTTTAACATTATAAATATTATAACATACTGTGCTGTTTGTTTAGTAGGCGTAGAGGGCGATGCCTTTGCTGTGACTTGTTTTATAAATTGTAGATAAGAAATATGACTTATAAAAACCACAAAACCACCAAGAGTTTGAGTTGTAGTTGTAGTTTGAGTTGTCTCTTAGGGTATTTCTCTGTCTGTGGTGGCCAGACACACCATTTCTCTTGAAAATGGAATTACTGTGTGTTAATTCATTTTGTAATTACCTGAGTGGCTATGTGGTGTTTGTGTAGTGGCAGACAGCCCTGGTGTGATTCACAGTGGTCCATTATCTCTGTGACTGTAAATAACCCTCGCCATAACTAGCTGTTCATTTTCTCATCCACAACAAACCAGACATGTTCCCGTTAAATGGATCCTCCTGTGGCTCAATGTCTTACAACTTGCCACGACTAAATGTAATTATTGTTAGAGAAAACACACTTAAAACATTCAGTACCGCTCTGCTTCAGACTATACGTCAGACTAAAGTCACATGCTTTGGTTTTGTCAAGGATGTTGTTAATTTAGAGAGAATTACCCGCGAACGTACTGCATAATTTAGGGTCATACCTTTTTTGTCTATTTATTATTGTTTGTTTAATAAAGTTAACTTTACTTACTTGTAAAGCTTTATACTTGCAGTGCCTGAAGTGCTCTCAGTCCTACTCAACCTCCTACTGTCCCCCTCAGGCAGGTAGACATCTGTAGCAAATGTAACTTATTTTTGAAGCTTTAAACTTGTTGCCACAATGACACCCACAAGCCAAGTAGGCCCATAAATCTGGGTTTATAAACTGCTGATCAGACGACTGTGTTAAGTAAGTAGGACAGAAGTTTCATGTGGAAAAGGCCGTAACAAAGTAAAGAGAGAACATAAACAAAAAGCAAGAAGCATCCTCGCCTGCGGACACAGCCAGCTAATAAAGAATAAAGAGAAATAGCAGAGGACAGCAGTAGATAGATGATGGGAGAGGTGGACGGATAGATGGAGGAAGTATAAAGCGCAGTATTGATTTTTTGTCTCCAGTAGAGTCCGCCAGGATGCACGCTGCTGCCCTTATATGCTCCGCTCAGCTCTGGACTGAACACAGCAGCTGTGTGTTCAAGCTCACTGTCGTCCATCTATGTGTCTGTTTTGCACCTAAAACAAATAAAACGTCGCTCATTTTACCATCCTGAAACATGTATATATGTGTGTGTGTGTGTGTGTGTGTGTGTGTGTGTATTCAGAGCAGTTTTATTATGGAGATTAATTGGCTACTGCTACATGGAGGATTGACCAATCAGATTCTGACTTTCCCATTAACCAGCACTTTCTTCTGTCTCACAGGAATCACAGGAAGTGCTCTTTTATTGATAATAGACCCAAAGAGCTGTGTGGTTTCATGGCCCGGGCTTTCCCTGTGCACTGTAGTATTATTTCATGACTCGGGAGAAAATATATTGAGTATGTTTGAAACTATGATGATTTTATGTGTGTGATGTGTTTCAGATTACTTACAGTCTTTTTTTTTCCTCTTCTTTTTTCCATTTCACAGCTCAGATAGTCTTATTGATAATGCAATAAGGTAAGTTTTACTGCCCCGTTCACTTTCCTCCTCCTCCTCCTGTTACACTCACTCACACACCATAAGCAAACACAGCACATTTGGGTCTCTTAAAAACATTCAAACCAAGTTAATGTGATGCTTGTGAAGACAGCTATACAAATCTCTCTCTCTCTCTCCAGTATCGCCATGGCTACCAAAGAGAACATCACATTTCAGCGTGGGATGCTGAAGTCCATTCAAACCAGGGTCACAACTTTGGCCAGTATCCTTTTATCATTGTAATCATTTGTCTTTTCGTCCTTTACTTTCTCTCTGTTATTATGTTTCCCATGTACGGTACATCATTTAGCACAGAGAGTTGTGTCTGTGCCGGAGTAACCACAGCACATATGGATATGGAGCAGGATAACGTAACCTCACTTACAGTGAAAGCTACTATGTCAGACATTAGACCTACACCATTAGGCTCCATTTGTTCTTTTTCCTGGTTGCGTTAGGAGCCCTGCTGATGTATTTCCCTCTGCTGCTTTCTGTTTCTTACTCACTGCAAAGAAAGGGAAAACCCTTCTTAATTATTTTCCTTCACCGCGCATCCCCACCCCTCAGATCGCTTCCCTGCCATCAACAGTCTCATCCAGAAAATCAATTTGCGCAAGAGGCGGGACTCTTTAATTCTAGGTGGGGTGATTGGCGTCTGCACCATACTCCTGTTGCTCTACACTTTCCACTGATGCGCTGGCTGTTTCTTTAAAATATTCATTGTAATTCAGTAATTCAAGTATTTTTCATGTTTTTGTAATGTTCTTCCTTCTATTGTCATTTACTCTGATTAAAACAACACTTTAAATAGTTAAGAAAGGATTTTATTTTGAAAAAAGAAAACTATATCAGTAAAAAAAAGTCTTAATTGAAAGTGAAAGGGTTAGAATTTATTTATTTTCTGAATTATTATAAAATTTCAATTTTGAAATGTATATACTGTAATGCTGCTTATATCCTATCCTCATAATTTTAACTCTTTCTAAATGTATGAAGTAATATTTGATTGGGATCGTGTACTGTTGATGTCATACTTCTTTATATAGTATCGGCGTTGCCTAATAAAAATAAAGGTGATGAGCTCACTTTCAAGTTGGTCATGCTCATTCAAGTTTATTTCAGACATGCAGAACTATGGCACAGTAAACCAGTCATACAGTATAAATGTATAAACATCAACATCAGAGTGCCAAGAACAGTGCATACAGGGAGAATAAACCCCATTCATATCTTGCAGTATATTGTAAACGTAACGAGGTGTAGAGATCCAGGCAGTTCAGTGGAGTTTCGAACAGGAATCTGCTCAGTTTTTATCATAATAGCACGCAAAACAAGATATCACACTATGACTACAGTTAGGGCATTGTTGTGATAAACGTACATGAGTTTTAAACTTTTATGTAAACAGTGTATGAAATCAGTTTATACATCTTCCCACAGCCACAGAAGTCCCAACAACACAAAGAGAAACAGGGCAGGCAGTGGCGGCGTTACAGACTAGAGGTGCACTTCTTTTTTTTTTTTTGTCTGACCACCTGTTTTTATACATTTGTCACGATGGTATTCGTCATCTTCATTATTTTTTAGGAAATCCTCATATGTAATGATGCCATTTTTTTATTTTTAATAAGCAAATGTAGTGCCATCCAATTATCTGAGAGTCAGGCAGTTCTGTGTACTTCAGTGCACCACTAGTTTGGACTATGAGTAGTTTACACTTTCTCCACAGAGTGATGATCCGACACTACAACTGTGTGCAGCCTTCATTTTCCTTCCCTTTTGTTCCTGAGTTTGTGGGGTTATTGGGCATGAACATTGCCGGAAAAATGGAAACGGCCAGCGATTTCTTTCCCTTTCTTTCGTCCATAGCAGAAAAAGCAAAAAGGTTGTACGTTTGAGTCTCTTCGGCTTGTTTTCAACTCAGACTTTGTGCTTTTTCATCTTTTTTTCCTCCTCTCTCTCTCTCTCTCTCTCTCTCTCTCTCTCTTCTGTGCAATTTTGAGATCAGATGAAGTTAAAGGAGACTCCTTCCATCCCTCAGTTCACTGCTGGATCTCTGTGAGACAGAGAAAAAAAGAGAAATTAAGATGCACAAGTGTACACCGAGCCTTGTGAGTGAGTGTTGGTTTTTATGTCTTTCATCCATACCTATTGTTAATACTATGAAGATGATGACAGCCACACCCAGCAGTATTGCCAGACAGCTGAGCAGCATAGACAGACGCCCATACTTCCTTGCTCCTTCAATATCTCCTGTATGGAGAACAGACCTCGACTAATGGAAAAGGAGATGATCAACAATTCATTATTTAAATACAACAGAAGCACCAAGGCACCTGTAGTGTTTGAAAAAAACAAACAAAAAAAAAACAAGATTACAGCAGTAGAATATACCCAAACATCTGAAGCACAGATAATAATAATAATAATAATAATAATAATAATAATAATAATATAAATCTACTTTGTGTTATTATAAATACAATTAAAGCTGTAAATAATCGCATCACTCACCACATATGCGTACCACAAGGCACACATGTTAAGAGGCACGGCGGGGCAGAAACAGGACAACACGGCGAGCCAGAGGTAATTCGGGGGTGCGGACCCGGGCGGCACAGGGGAGGGAAGCGGGCCCAGGCTGAGCCGGGACGCGGACTTGGGTGGGGTCGCCAACTGCCCGATGGAGCCCGACTTAAGCGGCGATCTGTGTCCATTCTGGTCCGCGTCCAGGGACCGGACGCTCCCTCTGATGTTGAGGGAGAAGGAGTCGGACGGCTTGATGTTGCTCTGCCCGGTGGGCTCGGTGGTGGCGGTGCTCAGCAGCTTCTCCTTATCGTGGAAGTTGGTGGGATTGGAAACTTCCCTCTCGCCGAGGGCGCTTTTCCCAAACGCAGCGTCAGTGTTGATAGCCATCACTGAAAGATAAGAAATCTCCAAGTCTTATTCTCTGTCTGACCGAGCCGCTTCCTGTGGATAGAGATGCTGAAGAGTCCTCCTTCAGATGTTCTCCATTGGGGGTCATTAGATTAAATATTATAAATTCAGAGATGCCTAATACCTTCAAGGCAACCTATTTAATTAAGCAGTCTAACTCCATCAAAATGTCTTATTGATGAGCGAGATGTTATTGATGTCTGAGTCCCTCTCGCGTTTAGTTGGCGGTAAGCATCCGGACGCACGACTTGCCCCCCCCCCTTTATTATGTAGTGAGGTATTACCGCAACCCTTACATCTCCACAGAAGATCCCCAGGCCTGCTTATCTGCTTATGCACCGGGCGAGGCGTGTGACAAAGCAAAAACAACAATTAAACCTCTTCTGGAGTGAACGCGCGCGGTGCGTAAAAGCTTTCCATTTACGCACAGGGGCTTCAGCTGGATCAGCATGTAGGGCACCCACTGCACAGTGTGTGTGAGGGAGAAAGAGAGAGAGCTGGAGAGGAAGGAAGGTGGATGATACAAGGCTTTCTACACATGCACGCCCTGCTGACTCAGGTCCTTCTGTAAAGTTATATTCTGACACATTACAGCGTGTAACAGGGACGGAATCAGGAACTCAGGTTCTTTCAACCAGCTACTGTGTCCTGTATATGATCTAGATGAACGCATCAGTAATAATAATGGATACTTCATTTATGATAATACTTAAATTAAATTAAATCTGAATACTTATTCCACCACCGCCCATCAGAGATACTTAAACATGTCGGTGCAGTGCTTATTAATGTTAATCTACGTAATAACTATTTTGAACAATTTGTAAACTGGTCCATGAAGATTTGTTTCATGACTGTTGCACAATGTCCAGGTTTATCAAACGATCTGTTACTGGCGGGAACAGTGAGGATACACACTCTCAAGGTTTCTCCCTTCACACACTACAGATTTAATACCACGTTCATCCACATGAGCTGGAAAAGATTCAGTCTGATTGTATTTCCCTCAACATCCTCTGTGATTCCCTGAGCCATGGAGATTATTACGCCATCTAGTGGTGATTCTGAGGAAATAGCACCAAGACCCGGAAGCTGTAGGTTTAGAAGTGCAGCAACTCTGTTTTGCTTCCCAAACTCACAGATATCTGTAATTTCCTCATAATCCATGCAAACAAGTATTCATTATATTATTTTTTCGTTTTTCGAGTAGATTTTGTTTAGTGGTTCCACCAACAAAGCTCAATCAGATCTGTAAAGTAAAATATTGTGTGCCTGTTGAGCACGAGGACAACTTCAAAAAATTACATTTAATTTGAGAAATATGATGATTGGACAGTTTTATAAAATGATTTAAGAACCTTACATGTTCCACTTATTAAACCAATTCAGCTTACAGTAATAAAGTAATATTATAACCTGCTGCTGAAGCCAAATAAATAAATTATAGTTATAGTTATAAACATTATTTCACATTCAGTAAGTTATCCCAATACTTGGCCTCAGTTTGATAATGTTGCTGTGAACTGGGGTTACACATCTTGCATGTAACAACAATCTAACTTGATTCATACAGTCCTGACTAAATGTCAGACTGGTGACTTGTTTTCTTTTAATTATTTTTGGGGGCTTTTTATTGCCTTTTTGAGAGAGAGAGAGAGAGAGATATGAGCTAACCAGGGTTCCTCAGCTTGGTGACTTGTTAATGTAGTGTTAGCCCACTAAAGAACAAAGATTATTAACACAATTGTTCCCTATCTGATGACATTTGACAATTTAAAGAGCATTTTACTTTGCTCTTCCTTGTTCGCCTTTAATGGGATCACTAGACTCAAAAAGGGATGAGTGTGACACTTTTTTCCATATGCCTCTTCGTGTGTGTGTGTAGTTATTTTTGGACGGGAGAGCCTTCGTTGCTGGTATGTGTTTTATCGTCCATAGTGTGCAGTTTTGTAGACAACAATAAACCTTAAGTCTGAGAAAATATTTTGTTTATTGTAAGAAAACACATCACAGACAAAATCTAAGCAGATTCTTGCAGGAAAAAGACAACATGTGTGACCACAAACTAAATTTTATCTTCTTCATTTTATACTGCCTAAAGTTAAATATACCTCACATATGATTAACACAGGAATATAAACAATGGTGGCTCAAATCTGGCAGGTTATTAAAGTCTAGTCTGTCTACTGAGTGTGTGAAACACCGCCTTCCTCTGTCCTTATCCCATCACCCCCCCTCTTCCCCATCCGCTTCCTCTTCTTGAGTCATCCGGGGCAGGGCTGACCAGAGCAGTTCTTCAGCTGGCAGCTTTAGCATGTGTACAGGAACATAAAGCTTGCCAGTGAAGAACTGCTGTGTGTCAGCCATTCGGGGTCAAGGGTTGAGGGAGTGCTGGGAGTCAGCCAGTGAGCGTGAGAGTTCGAACCAGACAAGCCTGAAGTGATGGACGACCCGCTTTAAGGCACAAATGGAGAGTCCTTCTCCTTTGTTCGTCTGCTTTTAGGTGCACATGTTCCTGCAGAAAGAAAAGGAGAGATCATTTAACTTCCCCTCTAAACTCCCTGCTCCAGTAGCGTGGGTATGAGCTGGCTTGCGGCCAGTCACACACGTAAAGTAAGTGGGTGCAGTCGAGCCACAGTGTGTGTGTGTGTGCGATCAGCTGTGAGTAAGTGGGTGAAATGAGCTGATATGCAAGAATGACTGGGAAGATGCACACAAGATCATGCGTCAGATAACCAGGAGGGATACATGCATCAGCAGCTCAACTCTGCCTCTGCACGTTAAACTGTGCCAGCAACAAATTCTTAGATATTCTTTTTAGTTATGATGCACAAAAATCACACACCAGCCTCTGAAAAAAAAACAAAAAAAAAACACTTTTTTTTTGTCAGTTACCGTGGTTACAAAGCATGAGTGAGAGGCGATGAAGAGGAGTAGACAGCCTCTACATGAAAGCAGAGATCTTGGAGTCCTTTCAGAAGTCTTGTCTTAATTAATAAAGTGAATGTTTAGGTGTTTCCCAGAGAGAGAACGTGTAGCTACACCTGATCTCTGTTTTCTACATGTTGCAGAGGGTGTAGTGCTTTCAAAACACACTTTCTAAATTGTAAGATTACATGTTAAAAAAGTAGAATAGCTGCTAGTAGAAAAAGAGTAGCTATCTTACTTAAAATAGCAGCTTAATCTGGAGTTTGGATTGTGTTCAGTAGTTCTGTAAATGCTTCAGGCATCAGACAGATTTTCACATTAGCTGAAATTAAAACAGGGTCAGGGTTCTTTGTTCCCCAGTTTTAGGTTTAGGGTAAAAGGTTTGAATCTGGGAAAATAGATGTGCTCCCATTAAACTGACATGATCACATAGATTAAATGGTTTTATGACCAAATACCTAAAAAAAAAAAAAATCCTGATCCCATCATTCCCATCAGCCTGAGCTGTACTGCGTGCTGTACCAATTAGCAAATGTTAGCATTCTAACATTAGCATTTAGATCCGAGCACTGATGTGCCTAAATATAACCTCACAGAGCTGATAGCATTTATGCACACTCTTAATCTTTCTTTCTTTTTTAAGTTATTATTATTTTGGGATTCTGTAAAAACTGAATTCCAACACTTAACATGTTAAAATAAATCCAACATGCACAGTTGAGGTTACACATACTGAGTGTTTAGAAAAAGAAAACTGACCACTTCAAGACCCACAAAGCTAAAGCATGTCTGCGCCTTTCTTGCCTTTAAAGAATGTAATGTGGTGATCTTGAGATATTGAGGACATGCTCCACTTCTCTGGTTGACGATGAGTAACACATGCTGTACATTCCTGCAGTAAGGAGAACCAGAATAATCTCAGGTATTTAAGCGTCCTGTAGCCCCGTAGACAGAGGACACAGCAGGGGGTTTCAGGTCACAATTACCAGGAACTTTTACAGACACCGCTGCGGGGAGAAATCATTTAGTCCTGCACTTACTTTGGATTTTACTTCAGCGTGAGTGGACCAGAGACATTCCTATGTGATTAATACAGAAAACACACCAGGTTGTAAAATGGGAAAGAACCACTAATAAGGATTTTCTCCACCTCCTCTGGACAAAACTTATCGTACGATACACACAATGCAGGAATGTTTTTGGGGTGAGTCAGCCTGCAGGGCCGGTTGACTGCCGTTCTGACTTGTGGCTCCTTTTTTAAAACCACTAAAAGAAATGTGTCAGTGCGCCAGATTTACATTTGTCTCGTAAATCTCCTAAAATCAAGTTGTACGTTTTTGTAAATTAGTGAGTCGTGTCACTGTGTACTGGGATCCAAAATGGCGTCCATTAATTATACTAAAAGTTGCTGTTATGTGCCTGTTGCTGTACCTTTTCTTCCAGGAGTCTGCAGTCAGAGCTGAGGCGTGTCAGATGAATGTGGTTGTTCCTCTGCCAGGCCTATTTAAACCAGCCCTGCTCTCAGTATCCATCTTACATAATTGCTGCTTTACGCTACTGATGCAGCTCACCTCCACGCCCCACGCTTATCTTTCTGTCAATAGTTACGTTTGTTTATTTAAAAGGAAACATTCATTGGCACTGTAAAGCACTTTGAGCCACTCACCTAGTGCATATGGCAGAAAAAAGTTCTCTCTCTCCTTCTGGTTTGCTTCCATGTTGTGTAGCTCACTGCATGAGTTTTAATAGTTGCAGTACTGGTTACTAGCCACTGGGAAACAAAACTAAAGCAGCGTTTCATTAGTACTTCCACTTCCCCTCAGCCCTTGGTATGACGTAACAGTGTACACTGCGGGGAGCAGAGGGATGGTGGGTGGGGGAGGAGTGGGGAATTTAAATGAAATGCACTTGTCCTCGTAGTCAGTGGTCACGATGGATCGTAAGGCCACTTCTTTCAATGGGGCGGCGGTTACCTTCGCATTACGTCTGCATTTGGTGAACCTAATGGAGGAGCTCCAGCTCTCCTTCTGACCCTTTAACACCATACCTATCTAACGCCATACATATAACATAAACACTACTGTGTGACCTACTAACATTACTGACTACTAACATTACTTTAATGTGAAATGATGTGCAAAACAGCATAATTCAGTAACGTGTGCAGTTTTAAATGCAAATAATGGGGAACTGTAACCTTCTAGTGACGTAATCAAGCAAACTCTATTGAGGAGAACTGAATTTCGACATGATCATTCTGATTATCTGGATATTTTTAAGCCTACTTGTGGATTGTTTGCTCAGACATTCTTGGTTTGATCCACAAACATCTGTTTTCAATAATGACACAAAGAAACTGCGATGTCCAGTGGTTGATGTGCAGCGCTGAGTGACCGTCAGCCCTCGAAGGGTCGATCTCCCAAAGTTACCTTGAGTTTTCCAGAGAAATGGAATGATGTCTCGCCATGGCAACGGGAATTTCCCCCGAGGGCAAATGCCGATGGGAAGTCAGCGAGGGCACGTTGGACTAATGAAACGCAGCTTAAGAATCTACACCATGCTTCTGCCTCTGTGAGGCTGTGCTGGAGCTAAACGTTAATGTCAGCCTGCTAACATAATGACAGTGCTAATGCTAGGTACGATGTTCACTATGTTCATCTTAGTTTAGTGTGTTAGCATGCTAACACTTGCTAAATAGCGCTAAACACAAAGTAAAGCTGAGGCTGATGGGAATTACATTAGTTTTGTAGGTATAGGTTATAAAGATTTGACCTGATGATGCTAGACGAGAACTTAAGAGGTCAGCAAAGTTATTACAGTTCAGTCTGAGGGGGACATGAGTGTCTGTTCGATATTCCATATTACAAAGTGGTGGACTGACAGAATTCATCCTAAGAGGAGACGGCCACTAGCAGAACGCCCCCCCCCCATAGGCCTGCACACGCACTCATGCCAGTGTTAGTCTGAATGAAGTCAGAGAGGAGCACGTACTGTACAAGTCCTCAGGCCATCACACAGGACCACTGACAGCCATAACGGTTGACTATTGCTGCCACAACCTCAAACTGACACTGAATTAGCTATTTGTTCCACAGTGTGTCAGTGCCTCTACAAACAGTGACTCTGTATCTTTATGTTCACAATGACGGGCAGTGTTGAGCCCTCGACTCTTTTGCTGTGCCACTCTTTCCCATATCGCCTTTTTTTTTTTTTGTCTTTCCTGACTCGTCTGTCCTCTCCACCCTCTTTCTCGGTCAGATCAGACTGTCCTGCATTCCTGACATTCCAGCTGCGTATGTTAGAAATTCCATCCAGCTGCTGTGGGCTCGCAGTCTCTCCTTCTTTTCCATCCCTCTATCATTCACCCATCTCCTCTGTATCTACTCGTCTACGTCTGGTCTGCACCAGACGAGGCGGACGTGGCTTCATTGTCAGGGTCGCCCTCACCTCCATTCTGCGTTTTCCTTTTTTTTTTTCTTCTTATGTACCTCATACCTCCTCCCCCCCTTCTCCTTCTTTCGGTCTTGGCCTTATCCGAGTGACGAGACAGACAGAGCCACATGACAGCCAGTGTGGAAGGCCTTGAGACAGGCTTTTATACATGGAGCAACAGTGTAAAAAAAGATAACACGCAGTCTAATACACAAAAGACTGAGCTTATCTGGGACTGTGGACGTGCATTCTGCGCCACGGCGGGAAGGATAAGAAATAGGAAAGACACACTGGAGTTGAACAGGCAGGATGTGCGTGTCAGAGAGAAATAGGAATGACGGTGTGTAAATAGGAGGGTGTGATTGAACCACGTTCAATGCAAAGAGAAATTGTTGACCTTTTAACTCGTTAGGAGGTTGTCTTATCGAGCTTTAACTGCGAGTGCAAGAGCTTGAATTTATGTATCAGTGGAGCTTGGAAATTATGAAAAAAAGCTAAATAATAAAAGAGGATTGAAATGTGAGCAGGTAGAAGCGCCACACTTCTGTTGAAGATGGAGAACGGAAAACAAAAAATGACGTATGATGACGGGACAGACCTCTCTCCATTGCTATACGCCTTCCCATTTGACCTTCTCACGTTTAGGGTCGCGCTATTGT